AAGTTTTTACACTTTTTATGTACAAAAATATTATTATAGTTACCATGAACATAGTGTTATAATTTCTGCTTGTGTGTAAGTGTGACCATGAGACACCTCTAGTTTTTTGGAGGGTTAGTCAGATGCTAAAACTGTCAACTTGGTAGCTGTTTTCATTCTTTGCGATGTGATGAGAGTGAATATAAGCACAATTGATCCCCAGTGGATTATCACAAAAACTATTTGAAACAACTCTTGTGGCATGCTTTATACAGAGGTTAGTGCTAATGGATGGAAACTGCTCTGAATAATATTATTTTAGGCATTATGATACTTGGAAAAAGATCACTATACATTTCTGGACTTCAGAATGACCTTATTTTTTCCTCTCTTTTTTTATTTAAGCTAGAAAATATCTAGTTTTGTCAATCCCAGTTCCCCCACCTCCCCTCTTCCTCTGCCCACAACCAGCCCTCTATCCCATCCCCTTTCTGCTCCCCAGGGAGGGAGAGGCCTTCCAGGTAGGATCTTCAAGTCTGTCACATCATTTGGGGTGGGGCCTAAACCCTGCCCCTTGCATCTAGGCTGAGAGAGCATCCCTCTATGTGGAATGAGTTTCCAAAGTCCATTCGTGTACTAGGGTATATATGTGATTGTTCCTACAATGATTTTTCTCACTATCTTTGAAGATATTTGTGATTCAATGAAGACATTTGCTTCTTCTTCTCAAATGTTTTCTTGTGTGTGCTTTCGCACTATATTTATAAGCTAAAGGAGAATTTTAATATTAAAACTAAACATAATCTATATGATTAATGCCTTGCAAAATATGTTTTTTTCTGATAATTCCTCTCATAAATCCACAGTCAAATATATTTGCCATTTTTAAATCCAGGACTTGTTATAACTTTCATTGCATTCCTATTTTTGTATAAGATAGTGCCTAACTTACTACGAAAATGTTTAATTAATGTTACTTGACTATCTAAATATAAAATACTTTGTTTGGCCGGGAATTAATACCTTGCTAATGCAATCATGGAGGCTATTCCACAAATAAAGACAAGAACTAGAAAATTGAAAGCTTGTGGAATTGTTGATTTGCCAAATAATTGCCCTTAATGTTTATTTTCCAGTAATGATTGAAAATTTTAATGTGTCTGAAGTAGTTCCACATTCCATTCTTGTTTTATTTCTAACACATATATACCCTCTCCTCCACACACAGCTATGCACACACAGAGGCATATGTCATGAATGCACACATATGCCCATAGTCTTGCCAAAGGATTTAAAGTTATTAAAATATCCAGCAAGGAAGCAGATCTTTTATTGGGTACCTTATAATAATGGAAATAGAAAGTGTATATAGATATAATTGATTGTGTGTATGCAACTTTGTATATCATTTGTTTGTGTGTGCATGGGTGCCTCTGTGTGTGTGTGTGTGTGTGTGTGTGTGTGTGTGTGTGTAATTTTTCAAGAGACAGGAAATGTTTATACATCTTGATCTAATTTCCCCATAAGTCTGCTAACAAAGCTCCTAAGACATTCTCAAACAAATACCTAGGAAGGATGCAAGTGCTGTTCACCACACTGTCTGTACGTTTTTACTGTTGTATCTAAGAGATCACTTAGGAGGCAAATATATGGTATGCAATGTTATATTGTCTCCTAAAATGTGTGTGGTAAAGTCAGTGTGCAAATCACTGCCGTCTTTGGGAAATGAATGACAATTGGATCCTTGTGTCTTTCTGTTATTCAAGAAAACCACATATGGGTCTTTGCATACTGTCTGGTTTCCTTCAAAATGCTGCATGTCTTTTTTTTTCGTGAAAAATGAAGTTTAAGAAAAGTATTATAAAGGAAGATAAACAGTAAATAAATAACTGGGTTTTCATATATAGGCTAAGCTTTCCTGTTTGCAGGAAGATTAACAGCATCTCTTATATCTCATTTCTGTGCATATTCATTCTGTACCTAAGTGACTAATCTGATATCTGTTCTCCAGTGTTCTACAATTTATGATAGTAGCTTTTGTATCAGTTAAAAATACCTTTGATAATAAAGTCCAACTGGTACTCAGTAGAAATTAGCCACACCACCAGTTGTAACAAGGGGTTGATTAACAGATATGCTTTGCAAAGACCAATTTGGATCCTATTAAAAGCTGATGTGTGTATGTACAAACATGTGAACAGATACTTAGATCATATGTTGTGAAGTTACAAGGAATTGATATCACTCTTTCTAAAACAGTGGTAAATACATTTATATTCCAACATGACAGCATTCTATTTAGTGTTTTAGTATAAGTATTAACTTATAATTAGGAGTGCTTTCACATATTAAAGAAAGTTATCCTTATAAAAATTTAAATCAGAAAGTTATGCCTAATAATGCCTAAATATTTAAACACACTATCCATCAAAAAATATAATTCTATATTTCAGAAAAACAAAAGGGTAAAAAAATAGTCTGCTCTACCTATTTCGCTTCATTAATGAAATATTAATATTCACTCAATAAATACATGATGATATAATTAAGATGAGATGTTTGTATTTCAATTAAATTTATTCACTCTCTTTCTTATATGCTCAGCAGTGGACAGATATTCAATGTAGACAGGAAATGAGAGACAAGAGTTACAGAAGCCAAGTCACAGTATTAATGTAATCCATGTAAGGACAAAAGATCAGTCAGAAGAGAAAGCCAGATACATGTAGGGCACTCTTGAGAGATCAAATTTTAACAGGAAGCCTTCTCAGCTATAGAGGGTAACACTGACCTGTCACACTTGCTGGACCTGACATCATCATGTTTTCTTTATTAGAATATTGGCTTGAATAATATCTTTCATACCTTCATTTTTCATTCACTTGAATGCCCAGGGACTGAATACCAGTTACACAAAAGCATCAAAACTGTAGATGAAAAATGTTTGCTTTTATCTACCCATTTGTGTATGTAAAACATACGTGTTTTATGTTAAATTTTTGTATGAACACACAGTCTCTTTAAGTCTGCATATAAAAGCTGTATAATATTTAGACATACAATGAGATATTCTCTTAAATATATACACAGTTTATTTTTGCAATTGCAAATAACAAAACACATTTGGCAATATATCTAGTAAATTCTGTAGTCATTCATTCATTATTTTACTTAGCCTGAATCAGTCTTTTTGTATTTTTTAATAAGCCAAATATTTATAGTGAAAAGGTAAGGTAGTTTAATATGAACACCTATTTTCATGATGAAGGATTAAAATAAAATAAAAAAAGTTACTAGTAATAATTAATAAAACTCACCATATGCTCAAATGGAAATGTCCTGTAAGCTTTCAATGAAGTTAAGAACTGCATTACACTATGATTCCTCAAAGGTACTTGATGGAAGCCACAACAATTTGCGATTGGGAGAAAGGACACTGGAGTGAAGGCCAGGGATCTTGCCCTGACTCTGAGATGTGATGTGGGTCTTGTCCATATAAGATTCTGAATCTTTATTTCCAAGACTAAATATATTTCTAGTACTAAAAGTAGAGAAATAGAAACATAAAATTTTAGAGATGAAATGAGATGTATTTTATGAAAATCTCATTACAATTCTAAGCTCTGTATGAGCTAACACACTTTTGTTTTATCATCTATTTTAAGGAATATGACTTGACACATTTGTTTTTATGTACAGAGTGAAGAGGTTACAATATTGAGCATATTTTTATCTGCATCTCCTTCAGTCACTCTTGTCTGCCTAGGAGGATGTATTGGATCACCATACACATTAACTTAGAGCCCATTTCCAATGCATGGTTGACAATGTGGCTCTGATTCTCATCTTTTCTGCTTGGGCTCTCACCTCCATTTCCTCCTTAGCCTCTTCCCAGTGATAGGGTAAAGTTTGCAAGTCACTTGGAATTTGCACCCTTCGCCTCTGCTTCATGGTTCCTCCATTCCCAATGGTGGTGAGACCTTTAATGGGCAGTTTCCACCTTTCATCTACACTTTCTGCTTCTCTTTTCCAAGTGCCTATGTGAAATTTGCAGCTACTGGAGGTTTGTACCCTTATGCCCATTTCCTGCTTCCTGCAGTCCCATGCCCTAGAGATAACTCAGCACTTCCTGGTTCATTGATTTTTCTATGTAGAAGTGAGTTGATGCAATACTTTATTTTGTGAGCTTGACTTATTTTATGAGTATAATGCCCTCCAGAATTCATTCATACAGTGAATTAGAAGAAAATTCTAACACACTGAGAATGTAGCTAATTTCTTCATATCTCATTTACACATTGACCTTACTAGTAATGTTGCTCATAGGCAGAATTGCTCATAGGTAGGTTCATCCTGGTGCAGACTATCAACATGAGATTCATTATTCATGATGCGACCAGATTCCTAAGAGATGCGGTAGAAACACTTGTGTTTAACTATTACAACAGACAAACAACTGTTAAGAGTAAACTGTGGAACTCACTGTCATCATTAGTAGGTGGGATGGGAAATGTCCTAGTTAAGTTAATCCTTCAAGAAAGTCAATCCTTCAGAAAGGCTATGAAAACCCTACTCAAATTGGAAAGAAAAATAAATGCAGAAAAGCAGAAACAATGAAGATCATAAGAGGATCTAAATTCCTGGCGACTCTGAGAGTGGGTGTTCAGAAATGTCCAGCTTTTATCTTAGTTACACACAGAAACATCTCAATCTGTGATTGTCAAACTTCTCAGAATACTTCAGTGTATTATCTCCTGACCTACAAACTCTAAAAACAGCAACAAGCACTTAAACTTGTCTCCAGTATTCTCTCCCTGAAATAACAATTTGAAGTACCGTTCCTCGTTTACACTTGAAATTAGTGGGAGCCCTGTTTCCAGGGCAGTGTATTCCTGCAAAATGTACAGTAAAGTCTTCGAGGGAAAGTGTACACTTTTCAAGCAAATGTGTCTTAGGTATATTGCCAGACACTGCAACAGCGTTTATGATGTTGTTTAATAGAAACATTCATTATTTTACAGGAGCAATTTTTGATGAATCTGCTAAAAAAGATGATGAAGTATTCCGTACAGCAGTTGGTGACCTCAATCAGAATGAGGAAATCTTACAGACTGAGAAAATCACATTTTCAGTGACGTTTGTTGATGGCAACAACCCTTTTCAAGCTGTTCAAGAAGGTAAGGCTCTTTACTGATCTACTATTTATCTTGATTATATTACTTATTGTTCAGTAGAATGGAAATGAAAATAGATTAGTAGACAGCAATTCAGTGTAAGGATTGTTCTGTGTGGTTTTGGCTAATTAGATGTTATTTTTCTCTGAGAGTTCTTGCGATGTAATTTTTATGTTACTTTCAACTTTTTAAAGCATGTTATATGAAAAGTTATTGTGTGCCTTGCATATGAAAGAATGCATCCACTTTTTCAGTCACAAGCTTATTGAATTGTTATAACTTCAATGGAAATGGAACATTCCTGTAATATATGACTGTCTATCAGAATTTTTGCTTTGGTTTTCTCTGCAATTATTCCTGACTTGAGTGTTGTTGCCACTTGCAATGACATTTCAGGTATATGCATGACAAAATTTCTGCAAGGAAAACCTAGAGACACTCTACAAATCAGCAGTATTATGCTGTGTTCTCCAAGTTCTGACTCTGGCTGTGTTGTTTTATTTTCTATAAGTTTCCAGACAATAAAATAGTATCTTCCATTCCTGATTTTCACAAGAGTAGATTAAATTTCTTATTTAAAAAAGTAAACTGCAATGCTATTTGTCAGAGAAGTGGAATTCTTGTTTGATTATGATAATCTAATTAAGTATTTATACCCTTCTTGGGTAGAGCACTCATTCTTGGGGAATTATTTCTTTATGGTTGCTAAGTATATAGATTATTTTTTTGTGTTTTTCTTTATTTCTGTATTTCATTCCTGCTGCAATCACATTAAGAGGTGGGAAATTTAGAAGATGCTAAAGACATGGAAATCTGCCTTTATATAAAGGGTTAGTTCTCTTGAAAATGAGCGAGAATGAACATGCTGCCCCTTTGCCTTCAGAGGACACCGCAAGGAGACACTTTCTGTGGGATGAGGAATTAATTAGCACTCAATAGGCAAAGTCTGCTAGCCCCCACAAACTTCAGTTTCCAACATTCAGAACTGTGAGCAGATTAAGACATTAGTCTGTTTTATATTTTATATTTTATTGTGACTATATTTTTAGGATAATGAAGAGGATAGCAATCTATTCAAATGGATTGGCTTTGTGAAATATTTAAATCCGATTTGAAAGAAGAAACAACAAATATTACATTAGACGTTGTAAATTAGTTCGGCAGGAAAGAGTGTCAAAACACTGACATTGAGGGGATGAGAAAATAAGCTCAAGTGTCTGGAATATGCACCGCTTTCATCTATTATTACAACTTTTCAATGTACAGATTGTCTTGGAGAGGACTGCAATGCATTCATTTACCTCTGTTCATAGACTGGATATTGCACTTGTGGTCTGAAAAATGTTGTATTATTGATTGGGTAGTACAAAAAGACTGTTTTTTATGAATTGAACAGATATGAGGTACAACTATTTTGTCAAAAAATTGAAAAGTATGTTGAATGATGATAAGATAGATTTTGATTTTAGTAACTGAATATTAATGCAAGGTCAAATTAAAAATGCACCAAAATATTTCACAGTAAAATCTTAGTTGTAGCATGAATTAGAAGTTCAAATAATATGTATGTTGAGAAATCTTTTATGAAACCATGTATAATATGTCTAATATCAGAATCTATAAAGGATTTTGAAAAAATATTGTAGAATTTGAAGAAAATACTCAGTAATGTACAGAATGTATGTTCTCTGGCAATTATCACCTCAAAGAATGCTTCAAGACGTCTTTTGCCAACCAGTGCTTTCATGACCAGTATGGGTGCAGAAAACAAAGAGGTCTGAGAGATTTATCTTCCAATCTGTGTAAGTCAATCTTAACTTCTTTCCAAATAAACATCAAAAATTAAATTAGATACTAATGTCTTTTAAATGCCTACCTTGATTGAAAAATATACATTGGAGGAAATTACAATATTTGAATAAATTCCCTCATACCATTTTTTAAACAGTACATTAAAAACAGTATTTTTTAAATACTACAGTGATATTCTTTTAGACTGCTTTGTGTATCTATCTTGCTGGTAGTTAAGTTCTAGAAACAAAAATATCTTCAGCAGAACTGTAGCAACTTGAAAGTATTTGTGGCACTGAAAGAAAATTGGGAGAGAAAATAAGTTGGCCAGATGGAGTCCACTAGATATCTGACAGGCGTGGTGAAAGAGCTTGACAGATTGCCTGGATGATACTAACAAGATGTTGTGGACCAGTTATATGGATGGTCTGTGTTGGGTGTTGAGCCTGAAATAAGTTGCATCTTTAGGGAAGCTCCCTGTTTATATCTAGTTTACTTATAGAAGGATTTGGGTGTTGTGTGTGTGTGTGTGTGTGCATGTGTGCATGTGTTTTCAGAGACAGGATTTCTGGAACTCACAGAGAACCTCCTGCTTCTACCTACCAAGTGCTGCGGTTAAGAAGATAGGAACCAGAACTACCTGTCAGGATATAGATTTGTTTTCCAAGTAAAAATAATAGTTTCAAGTTATACCATAAATCACTGCTTAAAAAAATCTATTAGAAACTATTCAGGCTAAATGAGAAGAAGAAACTACTTAAAAGAACAATTTTCTTAAATAGTATCAAGAAATTTGGAAGAAGATTGCTAATTATGATCTACTCTTCATAGCTATATTTTTAAAATATATTGAAATGAATTCAATATTATTAATTTATCATGTGATGAAAGAGATTTAATTATCACATAATTTCTAATGATCTCATACGAGTTACACAAAATTTATAAGTTTGGTATCATTATGCTTTATGTGTATTGATTTTAATGTCAAAATATGAAACTTTAAAATACAGTATCATTAGGAAAGGGGAAATTTGGTAAACAATCAAAGATTAGAGCGATCTAATAGACAAATTTGTCACTCAAAAGACAAATAATACCCTATGCTTAATTCATTTAAAAATTCCACTCAACTAACCATATTAAGAGCGGAGTTTTGAAATGATTGTTAAAGTACTTATCTATGGGTCATTGAGACAAGAGTTCAATTTTCAGACTCACCAAAAGATTTTCTGAAGAGCCAATTTTTAAAATGTGATATTTCTATTGTCACACTTAATAGTGGTGAAACATGAATCAGTGAACTGATGATTGATACTGGAGACAATACTAATGGTTGATCTCATTCTGTGCTTTCACTGTAGGACCTGGAGGGTAATAATTTAGAGTAAAGTAAGTTTCCACAAATCCATACACCTATTATGAACAGTATTAACACTATATTATTTGATAATTAATTACTGTTGTATTATATATCTTTTATTGTACCTATAACCTTAGTTCATACATCTAAGTGAACAACAGAGACAAGTGAGTGTGCTTTTAAAAGTAATCTAGAAAGAGTTTTCATTCAGCATATTATTTTTCTTTAATTTTGAGCGCATTTATAAACCAATATTACACTCATATTTATAAACCAATAGTAATCATAGACAAATTACATTGCACACATTAACAGAAGATCTTTCCTTGTGTTTTTGTTTCCTGTTTCTTTTTGTACAACATTTTGATAACTAGGGGAAAGGAATTTTCCTCCTCTCCAGATGTCACATAAGAGAAAATAATCACATAGTATATTTGTTAAAAGCCAGTTTCTATGTGTGAGTAGAAATATGAGTCATTTTGAAATGTTGCACATGGATTTAAAGCTAGTAAGATGCAGAGACAGCCAGGCATTGGTGGCTCACATCTTTAATTCCAGCACTTGGGAGGCAGAGGTGGGCAGATCTCTGTGAACTTGAGGCCAGCCTGGTCTACAGAGTAAGTGCCAGGATAGGCTCCAAAGCTACATAGAGAAACCCTGTTTTGAAAAGCCAAAAAAAATGAAAGAAAAAAGATGTAGAGAGGTGAAGCAATTATGATCATTCTTTTATAGTATGTGCAAGTATCTTCAGTGAAGAACCAAATTAGAGCTTACACAAGTGGTGAAAGTTTTAGTTACTGCATTAAATCTGACTGTGCTCACGCAGACACACTTTTGTACATACATGTATACACATAATAAAATATTAATTTTTTATAATTTCAAAAATGCTGCAGATAATTAAAAAGTGGGAGGTTTATATGCCTAATGAATATCTCATGTGAATTATTTATATCCATTGCATGAGACAGTGGGAAAATTCAGTCTGGATGATAAACACAATTGTGCTGTATAAATCAATAATGTTCTTTCACCATTGGATTTATTCATCTGTTGAAAGTGAAAAATTCAGAACCTGCATGGTGTCCTTTAAAGGCACTTTTTCCCAGTGGTTTTTATGACTTTGTAACATATCTATGATATTTAATTTATCCTTAGAGAAGGCTTTCTATTTGTAATTTTTTATATTTTTTCTGTGATTGATTTTTAAATAAACCCTGCCACATCATCAGTGGAATCAGCACGGCACAAAGAGCATGTCACCATCACCACTTTCAAGGAATGATCTGTTTTTAGATGTAAGCAAAAGGAATGGCTCCATTTTCTGTTTCATTTTCTCTTAGGATTGTTTCACAGACATGTTAGCAATTTTGTTTCCCTGTGGACAAAAGACCTGACCAATACAACTTAATTGATGAAAGATTAAAGGTGATGGTGATTTTGACGATTTCAGTTTACTTGTTGGGGAGGATGAGGCTTCAGGAAGAGATTTTTTTCCAGGTAGTGGAAGGTAGTGCAGATACAGCCTTCATGGCATCAGGGCATAACTGGACCCCATGACTGGGCTGCTAATCTACAAAGGCCCACAGAAAGTACCTACTTCCTTCAGGAAGGTCTTATCTCCTGAAAGATCATATAACTATGATATGAAGTCAGGAAGTGTTTAAACGTGATCTGAGTGAGATATTGTAGATAAAAACCTTAGCAACTTAGAAAGGCCTTATGAGAAAGACTGGCAATTGCACCGAAAGAAGTATCAGCTAACCATACTAATTCTTGACAGAGTCTGCCCTTGAAATGTGAGAGTTTGTAAGAAAGTATGAGAAAGATGAATGTACTAATAAGAATA